ATATAACAAATCTACAATCTACCCCGTCGAAAAACTTCGAGGATGAGTCTATGAACGGCAGTCATGCATTGCTATGCACCGGAGTGTGTATGGATGCAGACGACAATGATTCTTTGAATGCCAAGATTCTTACGGCGAGAAACGGAACGAGTTAGGTTATACCCGAGTGGTTTGGAGATGTGACTTGATTTCAGTTTTTTATTGTTTTAAGATAGTGAATACGTTGAATTTTTTTGTAACATTTTATTTTATTAAAACTAAATTAAAATAGATTACATCACATAAAATTTTTTAACACAGATAAAATACAAAAAAATACTAATAATCCATTTCGCAAGAGAAATTAAGTGAGAACATTAATCATTAACGATACATTAGCGATACTAATATGATCTTGTTTCGAATCGACTCTAAACTGGACACATTAGCGAATAATTCTTGTTTTGATATATATATATATGGTAAAACTTTTATAAATGAAGTTTGATAACTAAAGACGATAAAATAAAGAAAAGTATAGTGATTTTATTTAAATTTGAAATGCACGTGTAAAAATTGTCGAAGACGGAATAAAATAAAACCGTACGAAGATTTGGTTTGGTAACACTAAAATTTTGTGGAAAGCTTCAACGTTTACTGGATGTTTCTTATAAAAAGCTCTTCTTTGTTATTGTGGAAAGCTGGCCTTTCCTAGTGGAAGTATAGGGGCCGTCGACATTGAAAGCTTACCAAGTCGACAGTTACAATATAGTTTTTTTTTTAGCATATATTTCCTCTAGTTATCTCATAGATATTGCATGATCTATCTTAAAAACATACCTAAGAATTTGGTTGGTTTCTTGCTATTTAATTAATACACTAATCAGTCAATATTAATCAAATTTACTAATTCATAATCATCACGTACTTCTACGTCAACGAAGATCAAAATGATTTCTTATAACCTAGCTCCACCAAGTGATCCCCAATATCTTACATCCAACAAGTTCATGTATTTAAAATATTGGGGAATTCTTGATAAATGTATGTAAATTCAAATCTGTTTGAGTTCATTATGTTGAAATGGTGTATTCTAGACTATTTTCCTATTTCAAAGTAAGATAAACCTGAATATACCAATACTATTTGGGGGCAGAGAACGTCATGCATAAAGACGAGCATATAAATAATGAGATAAGCTTGGACATACTTCTTATGGCAAAGGGTTAATTGGCGAAAAAAAAAATTCCGAAAAATATATCATTAGAGATGGATACGTTCGGATAAAAGATACGAACCAGAAACATTGTACGCGTTCTCTATATATAATGACCAAGCAAACTTATTTAGATGGAATCCTAATTGTTGCAAACTCTTAGTTACATATAAATGCTAAAATGTAGTAGAGAAATTGTCCATAAAGTCTCCAATGTTACGAAGAAGTTGTTCCGAAGCCTCGGAAGATGGATTTTTGGTGAAGAAACCGTGTTCCTCGTTTTCGAATTCAATGTAGTCTACTTTCTTTCCTCCCATCTTCTTCATTCTATATGCATATTCTTTGGCCCTATCTCTCAAGAGTTCTGAGCCGCCAACAATCACCAACATTGGCTCTAAGCTAATCGGTTCGAGTCTTGGACTTGTCGGTCCAAAAGGGTTAGCCATGGGATGATCTCTTGTTGCGCCTTTTGGTAGTGACAATCTCCAAAACCTTCAACAAGATAAAGTTTAGCCTCTTTTCTCCTTTTTTATTTTATTTCAATATAAATATTGACATTGACTATACCAATATTTACTATACATATGGCTTTATGACAATGGCCATGAACTAGACGAGTCAATCATCACATTGTTCAAATAGAAAAAGAGAAACGATCAATTGGAGAGAAGACTTGAATGATATGCGATCCCAATGAATCCACGTTGATAAACATGAATGAAGATGCAAATTCGAATATGCTAAATATTATTTTTAAAATGTGATCACATTATTTGCATTTGGTTTTATCTATGTTATATTGTGTGTGCAAGCAATGATGGTCACGAGTCAAGAGAAACGTAAGCGTATTTAAGCTGAGATAATAAAGGAAAACGAGGATAATGCATGACGCACTATCTAAGTTCCAAATATATCAACTACTGTTCTTGATATCTAATTATCTATTTATTCCATCAACCACTAATTCATTTATTCAAAAATGAAAAATGGCCTAAAAAACCATGAATTTGGAACATTTCACAAACTTATATCGTCATTTTCAGATTACACGAGTTTATACAAATCCGTCTATAACTACACAAACTCACGAATACTGATAATTGGTAAGTGAACTTTGTAAAACTCAACGATTTTAGTTTATAACCATTTTTAGTTTCAAATACCAGTTATAATTTTTAATAACTTGTTTTGAGATTTTTTTCTTAAAGACAATGTTTAACATAATCATAGTAATTGTATATCGTTTTGTAGAATCAAGACTACTTTTATAGTTGTTAATTTTCAATTTTACATAGTTTGCTAACTAATCATAGACATTTGCCCGAAAAATATCATCAAAATGGACTAATAATTAATGAAACATAGTTAAAATCATATTGAGCAGGTCAATTAACTATAAGTTCGTGTAGTTTTTATAATTTTTAGCTAATTTGTGTAGCTATAACGGATTATTGATTAGCATATATGCTGCAAATTCTTCTTGTTTTAGACCATTTTCCAACAAAACAAAAAAAAACTTCAAGAATTAATTAGAATCGTCAAATGGTAGGGTCTCTAATTGCTTTGCTTGTCATGTTTTTTTTTTGTTTATCGAGTTTCGAGTTTCTGTAATTCGATTGTTTTTTTTGTTTGTTTATCAAGTTTCAAGTTTCTGTAATTCGATTACTTTCCATATAAGATATTTTCTAAGTTGTCGTCAATCTACTGGATGTTATTTTCAAGACCCATTCGTGTATCCACTGTGATGGGAGACCCTAATCTTTGAAAAGCTATCTCAATGTTGAATGAATGAGACTAATCAAATATTGGAGGATTAGTAGATCAAGCATATTGACTAATTTTTCTGACGTAATAATTTAACAATCATGTGATAGGCCTAAATCAGACGTCTTAGCTAGTTAAACTAATCAAAATTATTATTATTCTTCACGTTGAATTTATTACAAGAGTAAAATATATATAAGAATATATCACTATATATGTTTTGTCTGTTAGTGTATGTTTTTAAACAAAATAAATGCATATTGATATTGGTAGGAGAAAAAATCGTTTTCCTTAGAAAGTGAAATGTTTTTTGTTTTTTTTGTCATAGAATTGCTACCCCTTTGAACTAGTCGGCAAATTCCATATTCTACTTTTAAAATACCCCATTTGTTTATGGTTTTGATATCGAAACATGATCTCTCGGTTAAAGATTTTAAATTATATGTATATAAACTCGGCTATGGATATAAGAAAATTAAAAAGATCAAATAACTCTATTAAAAAAATTGTGTAGTTTTGGAACTAAACCAAGACATGTTTGTGTATTCATGAAGAGGCACTGTGACGCTAGCTGTCTCTCTCATGCGACTCGGCAATTTACTCCAACGATTTCATTGGCATTACTCGCATAGAAACTAGAAATATAATATGAAATTAAAGTAACCGAAAACGACTTCTATAACAAATATAAATATTTATATCAACTAGTTTAATACTAGTGAGGATATAAGCAATGAATGAAGTCATGCATGACTAGTAATTCAATGAACTTGTATGTATTTTAATGTTTATGCACGAATCAAATATATTCGGTTACGTCTAAAGATAATTAAAATATATAGAAAGTGTTGCGTTAGCTTACTTGTCAAGCAAATCCAAGCTGAGTGAAGCTTCAGAAGGACCATCCTCGGACTTAGTCCTCTCTTCCCCGCCAAAAAACGGACCCAAAAGAATGTAACCACGAACCCGAACCGGCCTCAAATCGATCGAACCGGACCCAAACCGGACAGCGAGTTGATGAGCTATGTTCCCACCGGAGGAATCACCAAGGACAAAAACCCGGTCAAAGTCAACGCCCGGTCCACCTTCAAACCAATGGTCCACACCACCGGAAACAGCCTCGTCCCGGAGCCACGTAAGCGCCGCCTCGGCATCCTCGAAGGCGGCCGGGAGGCGGTGTTCGGGTGCTAACCGGTAGTCCGGTGTGACCACAAGAGCATGGAGGAAAGATGCAAGAGTAAGACAAAAGTTGTGAAAAAGAGGCCAAGAACGTGAGCCAAAACAAAAGCCACCACCGTGGAAGAAGACCACCACAGGGAGGAGCGTCGCGGTGTCGGTCTGGTTAGAGGTGGAAATGGGTTTGTAGAGACGGAGGTGGAGATTGTTRGGTTTGTGAAAGATGGAGTCTTTGAAGAGAACGGTTTTGTGGTTATTAAGTGGGATTTGTTGAGTGATAAGGTCAATGGTTTGGGATCTTAAAACGGTGCCGTTGTTTAGGAGTTGAAGCAAACCCATGCAATCTTCCGTTACTTGTGGTTCTTCTCCTAGTGACCCCATTTCTTCTTCTTCTAATTAGTCTCTCTCTTTTTGTATTTTATATGTAACAATATCATGTGATTGAC